ATTTGTCTTCTAAATGAACAAAAATACATTTAGCAAATAACAGTGTTCTTTCAAGAAATTATGTAGTTTTGTACAACAGGTTAACTTAATTTTAGCCTATATAGTTATTTGTTTGATCCATTAACTTTGGTTTCATATACTTTCTCATTATACAGTTCTACAAAAGCAATCTTGCTCTCTATGCATAACACAACTCAATAATACAAAAGTAAATAAACTTTTCAGTGTAGGTTCCGAAAGTCCATTACTTTTCAATTCAACAATTGATATTGTACCAGTTGACCAAAATACTTTTTTCTACCATCATAGGCCTATATCAATAAATTGTATTTAAAAAGTAATATAATAACTCTTTTGATAAAATTATACGTTTTACCATATTTAATGACCTCATCTAAATTACTTTCTCAATTGTTTTTTGCAGAAAGAGAGAGAGAGAGATTCCAGTTTATAATCCTCCTGACTGTACAACTAGACTTGTGTATAATGGAAAGTCATTGTATTCCAATTCCAATTTGAATTGCTGGATTTTTATTCAGTTGGCAACTTTGACCACCAATTTTTTTCTAGTGAATTCGAGGATTGGATGAGTCAAACGATTATACAAATACATCGGATAATCACTAATAATCCATATCCCATGTATTTATCATCACCTAAATTAATTGTCTTAGTTATAGAGTATTCTTTTAGCGTTATCCCAATAATGGCGGGTAGATTGGATATTTTATAACAGCGTTTCCAAGGCTCTATACAAATGTATACCTACTAAACGAAACAGACCTAATTAATCACTATTTAACTCGACTCAACTAGCGTAACATACATTTTGTTGTTGCAAATTTTGCAAGCCAACAGTTTCATTGCAGAATTACCAAAAAGACTTGTTATTGGATTGGAAACGCCTTGAGATTCATTGATAAAATCCATAAATGAAACAATAGTTTGCACTTTTTTCTCAGTGCCATTAAAAATGAAGATATGAAGAAAAACTGACAATAAAAATTGTATTAAAGTTGCCTTTGAAGAATTGGAAATATTTTGAATTTTTACATGAAATGCTAAAGAAGTTATTAAATTTTAATTTAAAAGCCACACGACAACATTTCTTCTTTCAAAAAAGGATCAAATATGATTGTCATTCATAATATTTTGCAGTGTTTTCTTCTTCTCTTATCTTAATATGATCTTAATAGTTGACATGGATGTTGTTGAAAACGCCGACAGTTTTGTGGTTTTACCCTAACCCTAACCCAGCCCTGGAATCACTATTGTTATATGTAACTTTGTAACTAGGGCAACAAATGAACTCATTAGTTTACCCGAAATGAAATCGTAGTAAAATTCACAATAAGGCTGCCATTTTAGAAAACAGGATAACTGCCTGCTTTTATGCTAACTCTAACCAAGCCCTTGACTATACCATACCTGTTACATTACCCCCAGCCCTTGGAGGAGGAGACCCTCCTAAGCACAAATCAGTTGCTATCTCCTTCATCCTACTCAGGTTCAGAGTGGCTTTATACAGTACGGATACGAATTTTTTAGACACCGTCCTATTTTGTATAATAATTAATATTTTGTTTTCTTTAAAATTAATTGTACTTTGCAATAAAATGACATGACAACTGTGACTTTGTATTTAACATATTCAACTAATTCAATCTTTCTATTTCGTTTTTGAATAGCAAAATATTTTATATTGTGGAAAAATCGTGAAAAATTCTTGATATCCTTTTTGGATGATTGGTCACCAGTCATCTTTCTCCATGTCTATCATCCTATTCTGAATATCTAGTAGAACAAGATTCTCAGTACAACTAGAAACTATCTACTATACACAATTTTGAACTTTCCTACTTTATTTAAAAATTTATTTTGAACCATTTTATGTTTTATTTCTGACGCTAAAGACGAAAACAGTATTATTATTACTGTTGACAATAGTATATTGACCGTTACCAAATTGCCAAAGAATATATATGGACTCTATAAGTGTTTCTCCAATCATCAGTCCCTGTGCAAATCTATGTGTAGAAAGAAGATAATCTATCTTATTATTACTCATTAGTTGTTTTTCGTGGAGTTGTAAAATCAATATCTTTGATTCTTTAAAACGCTAGCCTCCTATGATTACTGTATAATAAAAGTATTTGCAAACAATCAGACATGGTTATAATCTTTTATAACCATATGACTATGGTTATAACTCTGAGGTACACTTTTCAACAAAAATATGATATTCTGTTAAATTTTAAATTGTGACAATGTATTAAAAAATATGGCAATGGCAGAATTTCTCTACTTGTAATCTTACTGAAAATCAGTTTATACACATCAGAAATATGGCGAAAAATTGTTCAAAAATTAAAGCAATTGAGTTAAAGGAGAATGATGGTATGAGAGATAGCTTATTGGAGTTTTTTGATGGACTTGCTCATTCATCAAACACTTTGAAAGAAATTAATTTTTGCTCATGTAAACTGACAGAAAACCAATGTAAACATTTAGGAGATATGCTTAAACTTTGTTCTAAAATAGAAATATTTAAATTAAGAAAAAATAAGGATATGAAACATGGATTTTTAGAAATTTGTAATGGACTAGTCTATTCATCAAACACTTTAAGAGAAATTGACTTTCATTGGTGTTTTATGACTGTTGATCAATCTACACAGTTTGGATATATGTTGAAAAATTGCTCTAAATTGGAAGTAATCAAATTGAGAAAGAATGTGAAGATGGGAAGGGGATTTTTAGAGATTTGTGATGGACTCATTCATTCATCAAACACTTTAAAAGAAATTGATTTTAGTTCATGTAATCTAAATGAAAATCAATGTAAACAAATTGGAATTATGTTGAAAGATTGTTCTAAAATGAAAGTATTGAATTTAAGAAAAAATACCATTATGGGAAAAGGATTTACAGATATTTGTGACAACCTAATTTATTCGTCAAAGAATTTAAAACAAATTGACTTTGGGGAATGTAATCTAACCGAAAATCAATGTTTACAAATTGGAAATATGCTAAAAAATTGTTCTGAAATTGAAGTGATCAATTTATGTGGAAATCAAAGTATGGAAAATGGAATAAGAGAGATTTGTGATGGACTTGTTCATTCACTCGATAATTTAAAAGAAATCAATTTTAGTTATTGTAATCTAACTGAAAACCAATGTTTGCAAATTGGAAATATGCTGAAAAATTGTTCCAAGATGGAAGTAATCAATTTATTAGGGAATTCTACTATAGGAAATGGAATAGTAGACATTTGTGATGGACTCTTACAATCAACAAATAGTTTAAAACAAATTGATTTTAGCAACTGTAATTTATCTAAAAAGCAATGTTTACAAATTGGAAATATGCTGAAAAAATGTTCTAAAATGGAAGTAATCAATTTATGGGGAAATCATGAAATGGAAAATGAATTGATAAAGATTTGTAATGAGCTTGTTCATTCATTAAATAATTTAAGAATAATTGACTTTAGTTTCTGTAATCTAACTGAAAATCAGTGTAAACAAATTCGCAACATATTTGGAAATCGTCCACAAATTGATCTGAGTACATTTAAAGGTAGCTAAACTAGATACTATTTATAGATGAATAAATTAAATGCCATTGGCTGTTAACTTCTATCTTGAGTTATAAATCTCTAAGTGTGTTAGAAGGGTTAGAGACCAGTTTGTTTGATAGCAAAATATAATTTGACAAATGCCTTCTAAAGAACAAGATTGTTGAATGAGGCCATCTTGTGTCAATGAGTGAGTATATGACTTGTGATTATTGTTTTTTGTTCATAAACTATAACAACTAGACAAGTGCATTGTTGATTTGTCATAAAAATTCAAGTTTTCTTTATTTAAACTAAAATTCTGTGACAAGAAAAAATGTTTTACAGTGAATATTTTCCATTTAAATTTGAATGTTGAAATCGTATCTTTTGTAAAAGATTTCTTAGAAATTGTCCTAGAGCATAAATATCATTTTCTGCCATATTACTTTCATTCACATCTAGGTATTCAACAAAGAGATAACAGTTTCTCTTTGTATCTTCTTTCTATTTTAAATAAGTTTTTGAAAATGAAATTTAAATGGTTATTCAATTTTTTTACCTTTAAAAACACGCATCTTTTGATTTCTGAATCTTGTCAAGATCAGTTTCAATGCTATTTTGTGCGATTCTTGTGTTCTGACTTGTTTTTGTATCATGATTATCAGAAGTACTGGAACTTTCATACGTATGGTAATTGCTTCGTAGACATTGCTGCCAAAGGTATTCAATATATTATCTATCTAACCTTGACCTTTATCAATTGAATTTGGGTTCTGTCTTTTGAGGAGGAAAAATTCTGTAAAAGCAGACGCAAATGTTATCGACACCTTCCATAATAATGTTTGATCGAATATCAATATCTTCAACATCCGAATCATTGTGGACAAATCTTCTTCACAAAGAAACATTTCTCTGAAAGAACTCAATCTCTATTTCCTTTACGTAGCACGATTGGAAAGGGTTATTCTGAATATTCAATTTTGCAGCAGTCAATAATCCATTTTTCGAATTTAAAAAACAATTACGAATATCGAAGTTTGTCAAATTTTTTCATAGTGAATTGCAAAACAAATTTTGTTTCTAACTCATCATCTGTTTTATCCCATCTCTCATCAACATGATTGTGAGTACATATAGATTCCTTATGATCTTAATAAGGACTGAAAGGAAATGTGAGTGTGAGCTGTTCTACTCCAAAGATATACTACAGAAAGAGAAGACTTTGGGAAAAATTGTTATTGGAGATGAAATCTGGGTACATTTGAATAATAAAGAATTAAAGAGATGTTCTTTGATCGACAAACTCATTGGATCATTGGAAAATAGACTCAAAATTGTATATTGAATGATTTGAAGTGCAACCAGTCTACAACTATTTTTTCCATACAAAACAACAACAAAAATTTCATCTATGAAATAATCAGTCCATATGAGACTAAATTTCCAAAGAATTGATTGAACCAAAATTCATTAGACCATATTTCATATGTTGATTGTTTGTTTCACATTGTAGCCCACTTAAATCAGTTTTACATGAACAAGACCATGAATATCCAATACTTGAGCATGTACCTATTAAAATAAAAACAATCATGTTGATTATAAAATAATACTCTCTGTTTCTTACCTCCATTTCTGCAATTGATAAGTTTTTTACACAAGTATTTAGGAACTCTGGTCCTTTGGAACTCAGTGCTAGGTATACCTGATGAACCTTGGTCATCAGTATTGCCTTTTGGGCCTGTAGGACCAGGACCACCTGGTGCGCCTTTAGTACCTTGAATACCTGGTAAACCTCTATCTGTTGCCATTAAATCATCAATCACTTTCTTACCTCCATTATCACATTTAACGTCATTACACACAATACTGGAATGAATATTTTGATCTGAACTCGAAGGTTCTTCCCTAAAAACGATAAAGCATTGATAAAGAAAAAGAAAACCTTTAAAATACATTTGAAAATTTCTCATTGTCAACATCTTTCTTAAAGTTCGTTTCGTTTGTTTATGGCAATGAAACAGCTACAGCACTTTTATAATACATGCAAAAAAAGTTTTTACAATCGCTTAATGGTTTTTAATCAGCTTTTCTACTTAAATTCTTAATTCTGCTTGATCCAGAAAACAAATCCTTAATTCTTGATAGATTATCTAACAGTTAACAAAGACTTTTTTCAAATTTAAAGAAAGCCTTTTAAACTCATACTCCCCATACATTCTCCCAAAGGCACAATTCACAATTTCAAAGTTTCAACTATGCAAAGTAACATTTCACACAGTTCACAATTTCTAAAAATGATTCTGCTTTTAGTTGGTTCCATTCATCCTGAGTAATTAGGTCAGATGAATTTAGGTGGCCAACTTCTTTCATAAGATGTAACAATTTTGGTAACATTCAATTCAACCATTCAATGTGAGAAGTTGGAACCGGTCCAAAACTGTTTGACCTTTTGGTACTTTTTGGCCAGCAGCCAAATTAACATTTGTAGGTAGTTAAGATATCACTAATGTAGTTAACATTAATACTATATTCATTATATTCATTTATAAGAATTTTACATGTGCAAATAGAATTACGTTTTCTCCATAATTCAAAATTAAGATTATACTTTCCAAGAGTGCAAGGAAATTTATCAACAGGATCACTCTGGTATACAATTAGATGATGCCAAAAAAATACTCAAAATTTTCTTATAACTCTGCTTTATTCATTTAAGAGAAATACATTTTCATCAAAGATTTACTTTATCAGGAAGCTTTGACACTATTCCAGAGGGATTTCAACACACATTTCTCATTAGGAATTTAAATAAAACTATCAGATCTCATAAGATCAATATAAGAATGAAAGGAGAGGTAATTTATTTTTTTCATATATATTTTACAGAGAAAATTGGCTTTTTCAATATGTTAGGAACTTTAGCTTGTTTTCAGGTGATCTTCTCAAATCAAGAGATACAGAAAGAGAGATAGATGATTGGAATGAAGCTACAAGAGTTTATCTGCTCTTTTGGTTAGTTGGTGATATCCAATCATCAGTTTGCAGTGCTTTGCAATTAGCATATGTATTTTGGCCTACAATAGCTTTATGCCTAATATTGATTATTATTTTGTAATTTTAAATTTCACAGAATCAATGCAATTAATAGTTTGAAATGTCTTTGCTCCTTTTTAAAATGACAATTACTGTGAGACTTGTTATCAATTAGATGGAGATGATAATTGCAATGTTAAAGAAATATTTCATTTTTTCCCCAACCCTAAAAGAATGCTCTAAATTATTTAACCTTTAATTGAAAAAGCTCTGAAATGAATTTTTGTTTTGTGGGGTCAAAAATTTCAAAATATTTCCTTTTTGTCAGAATTTTAAAGAGAAAAAATCTTTACCACAGCCATATAATTCAAAAGCCATTGCTGCATAAAAGCCACTTAATGGATTTATCCTCACTTTATCAGCTTGAATTTTCATAATAAAGTTAATTTTATTAAATATATTCCATGTTGCATAGGAGTTTCCTTGAAATTTCTGCGGGATAGAAAAATCATCTAACTTTACCCATCATCCTTTTTAGGAGTTATTTTGAAAACTGGTATAGAACCTTATCTTCTCCATTTTCATCTTAATAATTCATCATTTGTTCCCCATTAACTGAATAAGACAATTTGAAAGTGCTTGTATAATATGGTTCATAATTTCCATCTTCGCACCAACAATCTGCTCTAGTTTCTAGACTATGCACTTCATATATTTCACCTAATAATCAATAAGATTTTATCTTTTTAGAATCTCAAATTAGATAAGAAAAGGGAATTTTGTTTATTAGACCTAAGTTTACTTGCATCCATCCTTGCCCATAGCGAGTAGTCATCCATAATGTATACTCAGAACCAGCTATCCAAACATGATATCCTTTCCTCGATGCATGAGACAAATAATCTGAAAATCTTGAATCAGGAAATTTGTTTTTATCATAAATTCCATTTTTTTTCCTGACAATAATTGAAATTTATACAATAATGAAAGAGAGTGAAAATAATGGGATCGACAGAAAACATCCATGAAAGAAAACGTCCATTAAAATAAATTTCATTTAAAAAAAAATATATGTTGAAAAAGTAAACCTTTGGTAAAAGAATATGTTAAATATATACTTAATAAATGAAATATTCACAAAAAAAATCACATAACTTTTCCTATTAGCTTAATTTTTTAGGAATTATATTTCCTTAAGGAGTGAAAGAAAACGAAAAAGTGAAGGAAAATGTCTATAAACTGAAAGTAAATATCCATGAACAAAAAGAAAACATAACTCAAAATATATTTCATTTAAATGTAAATATATATTGAAAACAAGTTAATAGAAAACTTTTTATAACTTTATAATATGCAACTTTAGGTTTACCATATAAATTGTGTATTGATTATTTGTAAACAACTTTAAAAGAAAGACAAACTTTTTTCAAGTTTTACAATTAAATGACCAGTGTTTTCAAGTAAAGTTTTTTGATATCAAGGTATTGTCAATTATTTTCAATAATATAATTCTGAGCAAAGCTGCAGAAGCTGGTTTGCATTAATTTCACCTGTTTTAAAATTTTCCCAAATTAAGAAAAGATCTTTTTGAATTTGGCTATAAGTCTTCCTTTGAAGTCTAATTATCTTTCTCTCACTTAAAAGCTTTTTGTACAGATTTATCATGTCTGCTTCCCTCTTTAACTCATCAATCACTAAATAAAAAGAAACATTTTCTCCAACAATTTTATTCAGCCTTTGATGATAACCTTCCAGATCATTATTTGTCCTTATGCTTTGATCAAAAACAGACCAAGTCTCTGGAGACCAAAATGTATATTTTATCCAAGTATTAGGCACATAGTCCAACAAATCAGACAGTTTATTTTCTTTTGTCAGTTGATTTTGAATTTTAGTGAATTGATTTTCAATCATGCCATGAGGCAAATATGGCAAAGACATAATCATTCCCAAGCTCCCTCTTTTTTTCTAAATTCCCTGCTGTACTTTGTTGTATTGTAGGAATTTCTGGTTTGTCACAACTGTAATCGTCCTTTCCAATCATTTACCAATTTGCCAAAGTACTCAAACAAATAGAACCTTTAAAGTTCGTCCACAAGTAGTTTAACAAATGTAATTTCAGTAGAAATGAATCAACAAAACACGAGTATTTCGTCCAAAGAATATGTATTGAGTAAAATGAGTTTCTAGTTCTAAATAAGCCAGTTTAAGCAGCTAGCTGACGGTTAGAAAACTGAACTATCAACTGTTAATTTCATTTTTCAAAAACAGATAAGACAAACCTTGCAGACATTTTATATGACAAATAAGCAGACACAAAGAGCATTGGCCTTTTGTTTGCCTACCAACAAATTTATCATTGCAAATAGAACAATTGTCCATTATTCAATATTTTTTTCTAAAATATACCAGTTTTTATAACCGTTCTGTTAATTTGTTTTTCAACATATATTTACATTTAAATGAAATTTATTTTAATTTATGTTTTCTTTTGGTTCATGGGCATTTTCTTTCAGTTTATGGACGTTTTCTTTTGGTTTATGGACATTTTCTTTTGGTTCATGGACGTTTTCTTTCATGGATGTTTTCTGTCGCATCCGAAAATAATGGCTATTTTAAATATCCATCTTGAGTCTGATAGACTGTTCATTTCTCTAAATCTGGTATGTTTTATCAGTTTTGTTTAATTACTCTGCTTAAAACAGTTTTAGTAACTGTTTAATATTAAACAAATGCATTGTATTATTAATTCTATTGTCAATTTCTGAATCATATTATAAATGATTTTATGATCTTCTGTCTTTTTACTGGAGCTAATATTAATAATCTAATTATCTATCACTTTTAAAAATATATACCACCTTTTCATTTCAATACACAAAAAGTGCATAAATTAACATAAAATAAAGCCAGCAATACTGAAATTCAATAAATAGTTAATTCTTTATTTTCAGTGGACAAATATCAAAAATGAATAAAACAAAAAATAAGTCAATTATTGAGTTGAGAGACTTATGAATATTATATGAGATATTACAAAAATGACTGTATATGAAAAAAAAATTTTTTTATATGCCATGGTTTAAAACCACATTCTAAAACTCTATTATCAATTAATGTATCAAGATGTGATTTAGATTCGGAACAATGCAATCAGTACAGTGCCTTGTTTACTTGGAGAATGTTAATCATTACAAAAAGTTGTTATAACTGGTTATTTAATGCTTAGCCACTCCTCAACTGTAGGAGCTACATGGTTGTGTAGCATATCAATGAAAATCTCTTGCAAGCACTAATACCTCCACCAAAATTGAAATGTCTATGATAACTCATTGGAAATCTCCTAAACGTCCCAGATGGTTTATGGAGAAAACGTCCACAGGAGAAAATGTCCACAGTGGAAAAAATCTAAGGGGGAAAATGGCCATGGAAATTAAAATTAATAATGTATATACATTGTAGTGATAATAAAAACTATGCAATGTCAGGTTCTCCATTTTGTTGGGGAACTATTTCCTGTTTATGATTTCTTGTTTCGGTTCCATACAAAGGAGAGTTTGATTCAAATATTATCTGCAAAGGATATTTCACAAGTACAACACAATATCAAAAAATTGAATACACTAGAATATCTCTTGATAATTCTTTTAAATTGAATCAGTTTAAGGTAAAACTTTAATTAATAAAATCTCTTTTAAAATATTTGAGCTGCCATTTTGGGGTAACTTTCTCTTTTTACTGATAGATAATGGCATATTGCTACAAATGTAAGGAGAAAATGGTTGGAAGACAGCATAAAACCAAATGCCAACTATGTCACCATTGGGTAATAATTCACAAGAAATGCATGAAAAGTAGGTAAAATTCAATTTTATAGCATATATCAATTTTTTTAAATGATTGTATTAACAGAAAATCATCTCTTTCTTTGCAATATTTGTGAAGAT